GCCCCACTGGAATTGACGTTTTATCCTGCTGGCACCATACGTGTACATTTGGTGCTTTATCTTTGTGTTATTTTCCTCCTAAAAAAGGATAGATCGTTAATTATATGCCATCAGCCCTATTTTTTGGACGTTTGGAGACCTCGTGTCAGAGTCGGCACCTAAATCTTATAATTTTTCATTTAAAAATTGAGATTAGTAATGGGTATCTAAATACGTGGTTAGGCGCCGTCAACCAAAAGGAAGTAGCGTGTACGGGTGAAAAATGAAACTTTTATGCTGAGGTTGAATTTTGATTACAAGAAATGTGACATTCTAAACGTAAACGATTAGACACCTGAAATAAAAAATTGAAAATTACATTTAACATATAATGTGGGAGGGTATTATAAAAACCTGATGGGTTGAAAAGGTTTCACTGTAATTATTTATTTGGTGTTTTATCATAAACTCATGCAGGTTTTAAGTGTAGTATCGACTTACGCGATAAAACTAAGTAAATCCCCGATTGCAATGATTGGTGTAAGCACCGTCTATTTTTGAGGTCACTGCAATCTCATATGCAATAGATTTAATAAACATGTTACAAAGGTAGGGGAGCAATCTCTGGAGCTCTCCCTTTGATATTAGGTATTCAGTTTGGAGAACTGGATAAAGCTGTATAACAATATTCAACACCAGACACTGAAGAATGACTATGATGCTGTTAATGTTCATATAAACTACGTAAGTACACTCAAGCAACGCGACTAGCCTTCAATAATGATCTTTCAGCATTTGCTAATGTGATAATATTCACCTTTACTTAATTTCAGCCGATCGAAAGCGTTTGTCACAATTTTGACCTAGGCGAAGAGTGACTTCGGATATGACTACAAACTTATGAGGGTGAACAGGATAGTTGCACTCAACACGACGTGCCAGGTGCACCTAGCGTTATTTCAGACACACCGACAGACGTCAAGAAAAACAGACACACACGGCTACTTCCGATTAACATAGTTTGGCATTCAGCTTGCGCACAGTGACGAATAGAGTCATCCTTTGGGCTTGCAATAATAGGCGTAAACAGCTATCACATTCGCACACCATCTACAAAAGAAGAGAAGGTATGCTGCAGTAGTGCTACTAAATGATTTGTGTGCGCGTTCATTTTTCTGTGCTCGATAAGCAGGTCTGTTTTTACGCAAAATACTCAGTAGAAACCTTTACTAAGCTGTTTCGCTCGCGAACATATTACCTTCTGGGGTTAAAAAGACGACACTGAAAAATTATGGATGCATTTATCTTTAAGCAAAACGAGAAGTGTGCACTTTGCACAAGATGATCTGAATGCGAATAGAGACGACAGACTCTGTAGCTTTACACTATTGCGAATCGTCATTCGTTGAAAATAATCGACCTGTCTTGACCATGTCTGCTTTATAGGTGTGTTTATCTATTCGTTACGAAATGCACGCGACAATTGTAGCAAGCATTTTAACTTCATAGGATAAATTAGTATTTCAACACAAGGCTATTTCGAAATTTCAATTACCGTGTTTGGGCAAGCTGCATATTCGAGAAAGTATACCTTTATCAATATTACGTTAGTGTTTAAAGTCATTGGTTTGATTATTGACAGCAACAAGGAATTGTCATTTTACCTTGTAGTATAGCTGTCAGTATAATAGTTCGTCTTACTTCTATGAAGGAGACGCATCTGACCTGTTGCAGCGCTCACATACTAGAGATCGGCTGTCAACACGATCGGAAAGAGAAAAAGCTTTTGGCTCGAAGTCGAGCACATTTATACGATAAACTATGCACGTAATTTGTATCTGGATAAAGGAAGATGCGATAGCCGACGCTGAGAGCTGAGTCAAAAGCAAGGCGGAAATCGGGTGCGGACCAATGGATATCAGAAGCATCCACGTTGAATGGTAACAGTAACTTAGTCTTTCCCTAGCTTTTTTCTTACGAAATAACTTCGATACTACCCTTAAAATGTATTTAATCATTCCTCGAATAACTCATATCCTCATAACTCATATAACTTATACAATGCGTTCCGTTATGCTCGTTTTATGGTCGTGAACTTATTTTTCGGAGCTAATAATTATCAAAAATATGTGATTTTTCCAAGGTACAATGGTTGATGCGAGAATTCTCCTGAGCATTGAGAATCATATTCCTGAATGAAAAAGCACATACAATTGGCATAATTGTCTTAGTGGTGGAAGCCGTCCAGACGGACACCTGAAATACCATCCGCAGTGGCCGTGAAGGCAATAGAGATCCGTACCTAATAAAGAAGGGAAGTAAACTTTTGTCATGCCCAATATTATCAAACTTAAAACTTTATCAAGGAGCTTAATCAACCCTGACCTTCCATTACTTGAGACCCTCAATCTATTTCTACGCAACCATCTTTTCTTAATTACGTTAAAATGGGCCTAAATCATTTCAGTCTTGTACAGCCTCAGTCTAAACTATGATTTCTTGACTCTGAGACATTAGTTTCGTCCATATTGAAAACATCTTTAGGATCACATTCCAAATTGGTGCATCCGTAATTTCCTCATTGCTGAACCAATTTCAACGAAAATCAGGATGCTGTGCAGCTTGTGAATCTGCTGCTGGCGTTGCGACTATCCACTGGAGAACTCAGTTATGTCCTCAGGTAGGCTAAGGTCTTCATAAACAACAAAGCCTTGACCTTGATGATTCTTTAATCTAGTAGTCATTCCTTGTTTGGCGTACTAAGTTTTTGGATTATAAGCGAATGTCTTGCAATTGGCAAAAGTATGATTATCTGAATTACATTCTCGATCAGTGCGCTTCTTGATCACTAGAGAGATGGTATTCTGGGTTATCTGGAATCCAAACTTGCTGGAAACCCAATTTGCCAGTACGATCTGGCTCATTTTTATGTTCTAGGCCTTGTCGCTACAAATCTCGAGCCTTCGTGTATTGGTTGGTGACAGTACCCGGGACATGTTTTATATGAAATTTAAAAGGGATCACCTCTCACTTACTGATTTTGTCTTTTCACAAAACAAGAACATTGAAATATTGACAATTCACGCAACTCAAAACTCGGCTAATTCATAAAATTTGTCTCTACCAAACCTACGAGTTGTCCGAGGAATGACTGTACAGCTCTTCAACTTTGGAGAGACAGATAGCAAAGGTGAATGACTGAGTAAAATGGGAAAGGCATAAAAAACCACAATAAAGGTGAACATGTTGGCAGTCCAATTGAAGCTTATTACTAGTAAATCGTGATCTATGTTTGTCCTGGAACGCCGTTAGGAACGTTACCTGAGGCGATAGTGCGTTCTAGGACAGCGATTTTCCTGCGTGAGACACCTGCTTTCCGTTCCTTCTATCTGCGATTTAACTCGTTACCGCCAGTGTCGCGCAGGACTGTCATTATGTGAGAGGTGATTAAGACGCACGCATGCATGAATGTATCGTCGTACAAATTGTAGCCTACCGTCAAGCATCTCGAGAGCGTGAAGATCTAGTCGTAGCCCGTCGTAGTGGGGGTATAAATACAAGCCATTTCTAAAATGACTGAGATGCTTGAACAGTTATGTGGACTTGACAACGAACAAGGAGCTTGTCAATTGACTCGGTGTATTGGCAATCCATTGACAAGTTTGGGTGTTATTAAGTAAATATGTAAAGATCAAGCAAAATGAGTGAATGAAAAAAAAGCTACGATCTACATTCATGGCTGTTGTACTGTCAACTACAAGTTACTGGTGATTGACTGTATCACATGGGTGAGAGCATTGGACACTATCAAACAAACGTAATGGTCAGTTTCTAGTAAAAGAGTCTATCGAATGAACGACCCGCCTAGATTCGTCAATAGAACCCAACCAGTCATCCATGGTCCACCCATTCTGCTGACGTATTATGGATCAATAGCAGTATATCAATCAAACCAGCTACACGCGCAGCTACGCAAAATCAAGTGACTTGATAGAGTGGAGGAGCGTGAGTCATGTAAGTATTGAATAGGACTCAATGTCAATGGCATCCTGAACAAGTATAATACCGCAGATCTACTTGTATCAGTGTCCTTGTCGCTGAATCTCAAGATTAGCTTCATTTTATTTATCAATAGGTGGGTGACAAAGGATGACTTTAGCAACAGAGATGTAATCACATGCTTTCCGCAGCAAAATGTACTAACGGGTAAGAATCGAGTGATGCGGTCGGCTAAGAGCTCTACGTGAATAACATGAAAGCCATGCACATCAGTAATCCCAGCAAGGAGTCAGAAATTTATCAGGTCTGCAAACCAGATAACAGGCAGTTTTCCATTTTATCTGCAGACCTCGGAACATTCGCTGCCATTATTCAGCTACACTTTCCCCTCTGACAAAAATTGTTCGCAAGAATCTGATGTATAAAATGCCCCATTACGAGCGAGTCCAAGTGTCGACGATCTTTGGTTAGCGTGGACTTTACCCGTGACAGTCGTTTCGCCAAAACCGCTGCTCTATAATAACTGTAACCACCCTAGCGAGCGTGCGGTCTCTCTATTTGTCGCTCTAATTTCGGCTGCAACATCACGGGTCCGTTCACTTTTGACCCACCCACCCGCAGAGGATGAAACCGTCAAGTGGCCTGCGGTCCTTGTGTACCGACTCTACGCGCAGCAAACAGCGCGAGGTTTTATTCTTCACGCCACACATCCTGTCGCTTCAACTCAATGGCGTGGTAGTCAAATCACAAGAGTGCAGCGCTTCTTCTACATAAAGATCACAAACTGTGATGTGCGACTAACGCAACCGTTTCAACCAAAAATTGTAGAAAACAATGTATCATCTATTGCGATTATCAGTATCGTCACGACTGACTCGAAAATGGTAAAATCAAAAGACTACTCGTCCTCAGTGCAGGCTTCCAACCAAAGTGCATGTGGAAAACGGCTCTCCCTTCGCCGTTGCAAGTCGATCGAGTCGATCCAGCTTTCCATCCTGCCAACGCTCAGCATCACCGCCCGCCTATCTCTTGAGGTGGCTCACGTACTTGAAAGTCACGTAAATGGCAACCTGCAACACCAGCCAAATGATGATGAGGGCGAGCATGAAGTTGTACCGGCTGTCCGGACGGAAGTCGTAGATGTCTTCAATGTACTGAGCCACCGTTATCTCCGTCGTCACACCTTCGCTTGTGACTGCAATCACGTCCTGCACTTCACCAAATTGCACGCCAACAAGCGCCGCGAGCGAGTAACTGGAAGGCATCAGGTACGTGAACCACTTGTAACCAGCCTTCATGGCCGTACGTGGAAGCAGGTAGCCCGAGAACAGGTTGAACAAACACGAGAGGGCTCCCACAGCAACGTTGGCAACCTTCTCATTCGGCATGAGCGCCGACATCCACTGGCCCACGTAGGTACACGCCGACGTGTAGAGGTAGAAGATGAACATGAAAAAGAGGAAGTCGCCTCCATTCGAGCTCCAGCCAACGAGCCAGTACTCGATCGTAACGAAGAGGATGATGACCACAATCAAGTAGGGCACCTCCGCAAACCACAGCGACAGACTGTAGGGGAGTGGACCATAGTAGTTCGACATGCGCTCGCGGTAGAAGACTGCACGCTCCGCACACGTGACCTCGAGTACCGTCATGAGGTTGATCACACCGATGAAATCCATACTGTTGTAGATGAGACCAATGTGCGAGTTGATGCGACCGACGCTGCTGGCTGAGAGCTGGTAGAACGTCGTGCCAAAGATAATGCCAAAGAGCGGGAACAGGAACATGCGCATAAAGTTGTACTGCGGGTTGCGCCAGTACGTGAGCTGCTGCTTGATGACCAACGCCTTGAGCTGGTTCGCGAAGCCAGTTGCAATCGGTGTGTAGTTGAGCGTCGAGTGACAGATGAACTCGTCCGAGGTCTCTGCCAACAACAGCGTGCGATCGCGGTTTGACTTGAACAGCTGACTGTTCTTGTACTCGACCGAGTAGTCCTTGACGTCACGACCGATGCCCGCACCAATCACCTCGAGCATGTACGTCGCAGGGTTGTACTGCGGACGAATCTCCATCGTGTCTGGAATCGAAGCAAAGTACTCGAGCATCTTGACCGAGTCGTCTCCGAGGTCACCAAAGTAAGCTGTGAAACCACCCCGTTGCAACAGCAGCAAACCATCAAAGAGCTCGAAGATCGAAATGCTCGGCTGGTGGATCGTACACAGAACCGTGCGGCCTGTGCGAGCAATAGATTGCACACCACGCATCACAATGAGCGCCGAGCGGGCGTCCAGACCACTAGTCGGCTCGTCCAGGAACAAAATGCTCGGGTTCGACACCACCTCGACACCAATCGTCACACGCTTCTTCTGCTCGACGGACAGACTGCCCACCATTTCACCAGAAATCGCAGACAATTCCAAGAGGTCCAGTGTTTCATGTACCAAGTTCATGCGCTGCTCTTCCGTGAAGTTAGGCGGAAGACGCAACTTGGCCGAAAACACAAGCGCCTCGTAGATCGAAGCAGCCTCCGAGTGGATGTCCATCTGCTCACAGTACGCCGTAATACGACTGAAGTTGGCCGGGTTCTTGGGTTCTCCGTTCACGATAATGTCGCCCACGACGCGGCCACCCGTCTTACGACCGGCAATCACATCCATCAGCGTTGTCTTACCAGCACCCGTTGCACCCATGAGGGCCACCATGCGGCCGGGCTCAAAGTGTGCCGTAATACCATTCAAAAGCTGCTTCTCCTCACCCGATGGCAACGTCACAAAGTATTCCAGATCCTTGATGCACAAGTTCGACGGCGTGAACGGCAAGCCGCCCTTGTTCGCCGCCTTGGTGTCCTCCAAGCCACCTGGCGTGTTCACCTTGACGTAACAGTTGTCGTCTTCCTTCGGCTTGTCGGTCATGGCCTTGACACTGACACCCTTGTACTTCTCGTACCGGATAAAATGCAGCGCCATACCATTGAGCGACGTGAAGAAAAAGTAGTAGATGATCAGAATGATGATACCAAACCAGATGTACTCTGTGCCTTCAGTGATCGCGAAAGCTCTCCAGCACTGACCTGCCCTCCTCAGCCGTGTACCGGTCAGAAGAGAACTCGGACAGCATGTTACTGCGCAGCGCCCACGAGATCGGAGAGAACCAGTACATCCAGATCCAGTACTCCGGGATCAAGTCGGCCAAGATAATGTTACCCGAGAACAGCAGGAAGAAACTCACCGAGATCGATGCCAGCGCCTGACCAACCGTGATACTCGGCGACAACGCACTCAGCATCGTCATGTACGCACTAATGGCATGCTGGAAACTCAGCAGCACAAGGTAGAACACCACGAACTTCTCAAACGAGCGCGTCAAGCCACTCATGAAGTAGAAGAACGTGCCCAGCACGAACGACACGGCAAAGTTGACGGGAATCTGCACGACACTTTCCGCAATCGTATACGACGTTGTCCGGAAAAAGTTGCGCGGCCGTTGCTTGTAAAAGACCTTGCGGAGCTGGAACGAGATGGTAATCTGCTGCCAAGCTTGACGCTGGAACAGCGCGATACTGAAAAAGATCATGCGGAGGTAGTACTTGGAGCTCACGTCAAAGAAGATCATACCCATGACCAAACCGATGATGAGAGCTTCCAGCAGCTTTCCCCACAGCAGCGGCGGATCACGCAGCCAAATCAGCTTCTGACGGTGCAGCAATAGCATCGTGCTGGGCACGAAAGCCAGCCCAAACTCCGACTGTTGCTTCGAGCGCGCCAAGTTGGCCACGCTCTTGGCCTTCTTAAAGTCCTCGGCGCTCTCAAACTGGTGCTCGTTAAAGCCCTTGCTGATAGCTTCGTGCGTCTTCTTGTAGATCGACGACTGGCAAAAGAGATTGTGAAAGTCTTCGGACGCCACTGGCATGTCCTTGACCGGGACAATCCCATTAGCATAGCGATGACCACGACCCGAGGTGATTTCAATCAGGTAATCAGCCGGGTCAACTCGAGGAGGACAAGTAAAGCCCAAGCCCTGGAAGTAGTCGAGGATCTCGGTACGAGGACCGTGGTACACCATGTAGCCCTCATTGATCATCAAGATGTCGTCAAACATCTCGACGACTTCAGGCGTCGGTTGCAGCAGCGCGACCATCACTGAACCCCCGAGCGTCTTACAGAACGTGCGCATCGACTTGATAATGTCAAACGTCGCTGCACTGTCCAGTCCCGTCGAGATCTCGTCACACAGGAAGAGACTCTGGCCCCCCACGAGCACTTCTCCCACGGTCACACGTTTGCGTTCACCGCCGCTCACTCCTCGAAGCAGCGCGTCTCCCACCACCGTGTCGGCGCAATTCTCGAGCCCCAAAATGTGGAGAAACAGCTCCGTCCGCAACGCTGCAATGTCCCGCATCTCCTCCGGTTGGTCTTCAGGACGTCCATTGACGCACATGTCGGCAAACTTGAACGTCTCGCGCACAGTCAAGGTCGGAATGTGGTTGTCCGTCTGGTCCACGAGTCCCACGAGCTTAATCAGGTCAATCTCGTCTCCTTTCAGCCCCGAGTAGAGGATTTCACCCCCAATGTCCGTCTGTTCATTGTCCTGGAGCTTCCCAGCCATCGCCTTCAAAAAGGTCGATTTACCCGCTCCCGGGTTCGCCAGCACCAACGTCATGGACCCGGGTTTGATGATCCCCGTCATGGGATGAAGCGCGTGCTTCGTCTTCATCGGGACCTTCTGCCACGGCGTAAAGATCGAGCTCAAGTAACTCCCGACCGTCGCATTCGCACCGACGGTAGCTGGCACTTGCACCGAGAACGAGAGGTTCTCAAACCGGACTTCCGGCGTTGGCAGCTGCAGGTTGATCTTCTTCGAGAGGTGGTCGTACTTCTTGTAGAACCGCTCGAGGCCGCCAGTGAGCATCGTGTCCAGGGTGTCCGCACGTAAGGTACTGTAGCGACTCGCCATGGTGTCCCGGTTCTGCGAGTACGGGTCCTGGAGACTGCGGAAGTTGAGCGAACGGTAGACTTCCGGCACTTGCTCGGTCGAGTCGTTCGCCTCGGGCTGCAGGAGGTTCTCCGCGGTTTTCTTCACGTCAGTGTCCATGGTCGACAGGTGAGTGATGGCGAGCTGTCGAGCAGGGGGAAGGGAGGATGAGAAGCGAGCGAGCGAGTGGGCGGCGCTGGCGGGGGCGGGTGGCGGTTGAGAGTGCGATCGGCGTGGACCGAGGCAAATTCAAGAGTGAGGAAGAGAGGGGGGGGAGGACCGAACGGAGGGAGAGGCTCAGACGGGCTGACTGACTGACGGTGGATGATGGGCCGAAACGTGGAAACCCGTTTGCAGGCGCCCTTGTCTTGGTTTTTGTATGGAAGACTCCACTCGAGACTGCGCTCGCCCCCGAGTCGCGATTGAACGATGACTGAACGAGCGACCGGCCGACCGGCCCGTGCGAGGCTTTTGGCACTGCGCTGTCCTTTTTCTAGCCGCTTGACCAGGTCTCACATGGCCAACGAGGCGTCGTCAGGAAGCCGTGGGCGCCCGTTTTTTGTCCAGAGCGAAAAGGCTGCGCGAGCAGATGATCGGGACCCCTGGGCCAGCTGGGCCGAGGCGGGTAGAAACCAGAGTTCCGAGTTGTTCCGTCCCGCGTTTCGTGGTCGTGGAAATCCGGGATTGAAGCCCCTTTTGCGACTTGAAAAGGCAGGGACAGAAGAGGAGGAGGCAGGAGAGGAGCGATCTTTGGACGGGAAGAAGGAGAAGAAGAAGAGATTGGATTATTGAGCAGAGGACGAGGATACTCGGTGACCTTGTTCTCCGGTTGTTTTTTTTTATTGAAGTTCTGGGAGAGACTCTAAAGGGGGAACCACATGCGGTAGCGACTGGCGCTCCAAGTGTTTGCATTTACCCTCGACCCTTTTCACTGGCTCTGGATCTTTCATGATAACAATGAGCGGAGCTCCTCGCCGAGATGATTGCCGTGTCTGTGTGTGTGTCTCTCTCTCTCTCCTTCCTTGCCTTTGCGTTATCTCTTTTTTGTTACTAGCATCAGGTCTAAGAACCGTGAGAGCTGCTGCTGCAATGCGATGTTGACCTGTGTTTTAGACAAGGAAGAGTATGGGCGGAATCCGTGTCTTCGCTTTGCCTCACGTCCGCTCTCTCGACTGCTCCTCGTTTCGTCGTGCATGATCCTGCAATGTGAAGTCCCACCAGACATGTGAGTGACGTTCGTCCGTATGGGAGGGAGATGCTGTCGCAAAGCTGGCCAGAGGACAGCGACACATCCGCGAGCTTTTCGAGCTTTGCCGGTCTCGTGACGCAATGAATGATTTTCGCATAGCGTACTTGATCTATCGCTTCAGACCCGCTGCTACCGAACAGGTTGTCGCAAGTGCGCGCGTAGATGCAGACAAGCCGCTACTGACCCAGGATTCGGCATTGTGCACGGAGGCCGTCTGTTCATGGCGTGTGACTGGCTATTCGCGATCAATTGTGCGCCTTACATCGTCGCCCACGATCCTCTGTAGCGTCCTGTTAACATCCGCGTGAACAGTCTGTTGGGAATCGATTTGTAGCTTTACAAGATTCTGCGCCGTAAAAGTACAGGACTATAGAGCAGGTGCTGGTGAGCAGCAGTGCAGTGGGATCCGGGCTTCGTGCAGTGTCCCACAAGCACTTCCTTGACCGCGAGTCTGAGTCCCATGTAATTCGTTGACGAGTCCACGTTGACGATGCAGACTCAAGCGACTTAGACGTGACTGTGGACAGTACTTGAGGACGTTCGCCACTTGTAGTGCAGGACCCGTCCCGTCCGTGTCTAGTTGCAAGTGCATGCGCTCGCAGCCCACAAATGCTAACATCCAGAGAAGATGTGTACGGAGCCCCAGCAGCCGACCTTGTATCGTTGACGTTTTCTTGACACAACGTCTGGAGGAGCATACCACAGGTCGTAACCTGCATCTTCTCTAAAGACCCGTTGTGCATTTGCTCGTGTTCTTCGTGGTGCTAGAATGACGGACTATCCACATGTTTCGACGCTTGCATATTCGTCGCTCTCGCTTCAGCAGCATCATATCGTGGCTACCGCTTTTTCGTTAATGGTACCACGCAGCAGCTAGTCAATGTCTTAACAGCTCTTGTTGCAGGACGAGCAGACGAACTCGAATGTATGGACTGGCACCCGTTAGCGTCCCGGACAGCAAACGGCATGTCTGATAACCGTAGGATGCCAATCAAGGAAGCTCTGCTCCGCTCGGCACATTTTCCTACCCTTTGTTCTATCTTTGTATGTAGGGTGGAGGTGGTGATCTCTGGACACTAGCGACAATCAGCATCCACTTCGGCCACATGTCAGAAATCCTTGCGACACGGAGGGACGCGGTAAGGGTGAGCGATGATACAAGTATGCGAAACTCATTAGTCGGGATCCATGCTTTCAATTCACCCGTGCATCTTGGCTCTTTGTGGGATAAACAAGGGGACAGACGGCAGCTCTGGCGTCACGTGCGTGCGGAAGATCGGATTCAGGCCAGATCGCGTCTGAGGTGAACAACTTGGAGGAGGAGTCAACGAGAGAGAAGTCGCGAGGCTGCCTCGATTGGATACACAGTGGATGGAGGAGCATTTAAGCAGCGCGAGACGAGAGTGGAATTGCAATGGTCGAGCACTCTGCAGCCTGAAAATCTGACGAGCGGTCTAAACGCTCGCTCGCTCAGCGCGCGAGATGCGTGGAGCTTTGGTCGCCCTTGCTCCAGAGCTGCGTAGCCTGTGATGATGTCAGTGGGTGACTAAGTGACAGATTGCTAACAAATGAAGAGGTACCACGTTGCTGACGTCGTTAGTTCCACTCGTCCATTAACGGAGCTCGAGCATGTCGTTTTCAAGCGAACTGATCCGCTCGTCATACAGACATGGCCACGTGCGTACTTGTCATACGTACTTGCCGTGACATGACGGACCAGCTCGTGGGACATTAGAACAGAGCCTTTCGTCAGCAGACCCTGAGGTAGGCGCCATGTCAACGTGAGACGACACTCCATGGTTGGTGAGAGTATCGAGAGTATCGACTTCCTCCACGTAGCGAGCTTCTACGCTTGACTGTCCTATTCATGACGGTCGGGCAGCAGCGGAATAGGCTGAATGCAGGCGTCTCTTTGCTTCTGCGTGGGCACGTGTACTACTTTAGTTTGTGGATCACATGTGTATTCCAAGATACCGAACAAAGAGGGGATCAATGTGATTGTAGATGCGCTCTCACCTCCGCTTTAGCTTGATCTTGCTGCCTGATTACGTGCCAAGAGGTTTGTGCTCGCCTGTTACATGTTCGTAACCGAAGCGTGCGCCACCTGGTCAAATGCTGGCGACAGCAACGGTCTGCGCTTTTCAGGCCGGAAATAACTGTCGAGGAAGTCTCAACGCAAAGGTGGACACGTACAGCGAGTCTGGGATCACAGTAAGCAGGCGACGCCGTCTTGCTCTGTAATTCTGCACTTCCTATGGGATGCCCTTAGCACACGGGCATTATTCTCGAGCTGTACTTCCATTGATGTAACTCTGGTTGTGAGCTCGACCAACGGTCGGTACTAACCCCCAAGAGGAACGACCAACGAGGGTTGAAACTAATTGCTACAGGCGGTAAGAAAGCTCAAGCGATGCATAGAAAATAAAGCAAAACGACCGGTGAAACTCCGCTTGTCTGGCTGACCACGATCTCGGACCCGTTGATACACGTTCAGCGAAAAAACGACGACCACTCTTCCCTTTTTTGACCGCTGGATGTAGTTGTTGCACACGCTGTTACTATCGTCAAGTCGCTGGCTTCGCCGATTCAACGATTCAACGACAATACCGCGCATCAGTGGATATGCTGCCATTTCGACGACGGAGTCAGCGTTTGCAAAGAGGGCGCGAAGTGCGGTGCGAGAGATTACACACGTGGTGCAAAAACCAAGTAGTGGAACGTGCCGCTTATGCACAAAGTGGTTCTCCGGGGTGTTTTAGTACCGGCAGCTGCTCGCTTCAGCTTCTGCGAGCCGTTAACTCTAACGCGGAGAGACGACGACGGCGACCCTGCGATACCTTAGAACTGGATCTGAGCATTAAACGTAGGGTGACTGTGCGAAAAATGCCACCCATGTGGTCGAAAGAAACACCTTGATAACCAACTGGTTCTTGTCGCTCGTTGTCGTGATGAGCGGGAAAGCTCCGGCTCGACTGCACTCCGTACGTAGCGATTGACAAACCCGCACGTAGCTCGAGCAATCAAAGTGAACGACTGTTGTATAGTTGATCGCCGCCTGTTTATTGCGTTGACAGTTGAAGTGGTCGCCGCGTATCAGACGCTATCTGCGATGGCAGACATGTATCTACGCTACGAACACATCATACGGTAACTACGAGCGGCTTTCACAACAACGGAGACCTCCATTGACGCAATTTGTATGTGACCCTGGAGTAGAGATTGTTCAATACGGACGTGCTGTCCTCTATTCGTTGGTTCCCTATAAACTCGGTAAACTCTGCATAACTCACTTCGTCTGTTGTGACGGTCATTCTTACGTCAAATGAAGCCGTCGACAAAGAGTTCAACTACGGTCATGAACGCGGCGAGCTCAATAGTTCCTGGATCAGTATAAGTATGGGGGTGACGTTCACCAGTATGCTTTCATGAAACTCCTAGCGAAGAACGATACTGAAACCTGGTACACGGTCTCCGTGGTGTTGAAGTGCAATAGCGAGGGTCAAGATGCCAGACACACATAATAATCTAGCAGGTGATAATGTTAAACGCAGCAACATCCTACCCGATTCAGCACAAGTACGAAACTAAAATAATAAAAGAGGGAGAGCAGGCCACACACTAGCACTTGTTTGCCGTGTGCGCGATGATATAGGATGCTTTTCCGGTCAACATGAGGGAGAGTCATCAGGTGGCATGTTTGTCCGCATGCTATCCATTCTCCTTCTCATCACATGACGCTCGGAATCGAACACGTAGCGATTCGCCCTAGATCTCTAGCCAGTGTCCATATGTACTCGATCATCCGTCCGCAGGTAAGCACCCATCCACCTCGCCATATGAAAACAACGTGCGTCTTCACGAGAAACATGACTAACAACCCGAGTGCCGAGAAGCTGTTGGATGCACCATACGGCTCGTCGTTCATTCGCCTCCGAATTGTCTGCGTGTTTGAGCTGGACGTCGTCCATGTGGACATGCAGACCACGAACAATGACTGGTGATTACCTGCATACCTCCATAGGGTGACTAATGCTGCAGTTTTAGGGAAGGAATACACCTGAGACTGTAGGATAATCTTTAGGACATTGCTAGTTGCTCACTGTACCAGAGTTCCAAATCGGAGCTTACCGCACCCACCCAAAGGCTCCAAATCTTAGACATGGGTTGACTCTGCCCACCCACATCCACCCAAATTCTTTTGCCCAGTTTATCCCAGATTTACACTGTACAAATCAGCCTTTTACACCGTACTGAATAAAGTTATACCAAATTGTGGTGTTAAACAATAGAAGCTTGCGGCGTCGCGCCCACCCACCGATTTTTGGTCGCACCCATGACCATAAAAAACCATGGGCGTGGGTGGGTGGGCGTGGGCGCCCAATTTGAAACTTGCTGTCTGCGCGTGATAGGACTTCCGAGTGTAATGCAGATCGTGATCTTAAGAGCGGGTTGCTTACCGCATAGCGAAGCACGTGTTGCATTGCATTCTCGATGGCGAAAGCATCTTTCTCTATATCTCAGTCGGATGCATATTCGCAGCTTCAACTTCCAACTTGGCTACACCGTCTCAACGACATGGGTACACACCCTCCTCACTCCCTCCCAGCCAGTCATTTGATCCATTGGCTCCAATATGGTCGTGCACATCCAGGTCCTGAGTGTGCAGTCGATTGAGACTGCACCAAGCCTCCTCTTGGCCACTGAATCCCGTCGGTACGTTGCTAAGACACACATGTCACCCACCTCTGCTTTGCTTGGGTCGTAGATCTTGAACTGCAGTAACCTTTGACTCCATTACTCGCAGCTTCCTATTCAATGTCGGTGAAGGCACTCAACGCTTATGCATGGAGCACCACATCCGTCTAGCCAAGCTCCAGGACGTGTTTCTGACCGAGTTGCGGTGTCATACAATCGGAGGTCTCCCCGGTATGGTGCTCACTGTCTCGGACACGGGCAAGACTGGGTTACGTGTGCACGGCCCTCCCGATCTTCAAAAGTACCTGAAAGCTACTCGTCACTTCTTGTATCGTCCTCATTTCAAGTTAGAAGCAGCTGAAGTGATGCCGAGTTCAAGCGAAGGTGACCGGATAGCACCTCCATCGAGCTGCTATGAAGACAACGAGGTGCTGGTGTACGCGGTGGCTGTAGCCAAAGCTCAAATTGGAGCCAAACGGAAGCTCAACGAGACTCTGTTGCCTGCAGACAGTGACACGACAAACAAACACGTGAGTGTCAGTTACGTCATTGAGACGAGGACGCAGCGTGGCAAGTTCTTGGTGGACCGAGCACTGGCGCTGGGTGTACCGAAGGGAAAGTTGTTTGGCCAACTGCATCAAGGGAAGGACGTGACGCTGCCTGATGGTCGCGTCGTCAAGTCGATTGACTGTGTTCAGCCTTCAGGGCCTGCTGCAGCTTGTGTGATCTTGAGCTGTCCGACGACAGCGCATGTAGATGCGCTCGTGAGTAGTCATGGGTTCCATCGGTACCGAAAGATGGCAGATATGCAGTGTGCTGCAGTGCAGGTGGATGTGATTTTCCATACTGGAAGTCACGAAGTACTGCATCATCCCAAATATGCCATGTGGGTCCGAAGCTTTGGGGACCAAGCACGACACGTGCTGCTTGGGCATAGCGCCTGTGCACAGAAGACAGTGCACCGCGCTTCAGCAAAATTGCAGGCACAGATGCACGCAGTTTTGCCCCGTTCTTTTCCGTCAAATGAGATGCACGAATTGAGAGATGCTGCGGTGTGTTTCTCACGTGCTGTGCCCGATATCTCATCGCTGGAACTCACTGGAACGACGTCCGGTAACACCACAATGGAACACCTTGAGCCTGCAACATCGAAAGTGGTGCTTGGCGAGAGCATGTTGAAGTTCGTGCTAGCTCCTCAAGCTCGTCGTGGCTTTGATGCGTCCGATTGCTGGCCACGTCTTGATTTTGACCAGATTCGCGAAAGCGTTAGCCCGGTCGTGGATTTTGTGGCAAAGGCGTCTTTGACTTCAGAGACTGATCGCCGGCTGGACGATGACCTCATCGATGGTCGAATCACGTTTCTTGGCACGGGCTGCGCTATTCCTTCAAAGTATCGCAACGTCACGGGCATGTATCTTGAGCTCCCGAGTGGCAAGCAAGAAGACGGCACAGACACGAGTTGGGCTGGCTTGATGCTCGATTGCGGTGAAGGAAGTGTAGGGCAAATGTACCGATACGTTGGTGGCGATGAGAAGCGACTGCAGGAGCTGGTTGACCGCCTCAAATGTGTCTGGATTTCACACAACCACGCTGATCATCACTTGGGTTTGCTGCAATTGCTGAGCCATCGCGCTGACGAAACAAGCTCGGAACCGTTGCTTGTGATCGGGCCGATGGCACTGGGCTTTTGGCTTGAAGAGTACGCAGCAATCGATCCCGTGGTGCAAGGCAAGTTTTCCTTCGTCGAGAGCTACAGCTTTGATGCGAATGACTCGCGCAGTGAGGAAGTTGACACGCATGTTGAAGCAGCCCGAGTTCGCGCTTGGCTGCGTGAAACACTGAACATTTCGCAGTTTGAGTGCGTCCCCGTGAAGCACGCAATGCAGTCGTATGCTGCGGTCTTGACTTTCATCGACGGCTCGAAGTTGGCCTTCTCTGGTGATTGTCGACCCAGCGATGAGTTGGCACAAAAAGCGATGGGAGCGTTCTTGATCGTGCACGAGGCTACGTTTGAAGACGACTTGAGCAAGGAGGCCAAAGATAAAGCGCACAGCACTATCGCTGAAGCTATCCAAGTTGGTCGTCAAGCGAAAGCCCGTCATTTGATGCTCACACACTTCAGCCAGCGATACCCGAAGTCGGCTGTGGTTTCCAGCTCGTGCAATGAATGCGATGGGGATGAAGCTCCTCCCATGGAAGTGCTCACTGCTGTCGACATGCTATCGTTGCGATTCCGCGAACTTCGACAACCGCATTTGGTCCAAGTGTGTTCGCAGCTGATGACGCCGGAGGATGAAGCACAGGTTGACGTCGAGTCCGCGGCTAGTCTCACTACACCACAAAAGAAGTGCAAGGAGAAGAAAGCACAACAGAGTACCGAACGCACCGAGCAGTAGTTGAAACTGCGAGAGTAGAGAGACCTTGCTGAGCATAAGAAACACATTGCATTCATAGAATTGTTGCATAATGAGCTATGCCTGTCCTCCGCTACGCACCTAGAGCGGGCCATCCACGAGGCCATCTCGAGAATATTCACGAAGCACAGCAGGAATCGAGGTTGGCGGGATCATGCCTAGCTCAGTGACCACCATCGATACGTAGTCGATCGGTGTAACATCATACACTAGGTTGAGCAACTTCAAGTCTGCCAGGTCACGCCAGTCAGAGAGGATGTGGCCGCTCGAAGAACTGCTGGATGCGTCGTCAGTATCGCCTCCACCCATCCGGCGTCGCGAGCGCGGCTTGTCAGTGCAGAAAGAAGACACCAGTTCGTCCGGGTCGCCCAGTTCGTTGTGAGTAATAGCGTCCAGCTGCACTCGCTCCGAGAACTTGTACGTCTCGCAGCAAAACAACACTGGCACGTTCGCCTCGTGCGCAGACATCGCTACTAATGCCGTACCAACGCGTGCAACTGCGACGCCGTTGCTCATGAACGCAGCAGCTCCAAGAAACACTTTCGTGACCTCGCGCATGATATAAGATAGCGCGTTGATCTGCAGGTACGAGCACTGCAGACCTGCATTGGCCAGCACGCTCACGAGCTTACGTCCTTCATAGTGCGGACGCGAATCAACAACGATCACTCGCAGTGTCGCAGCGAACTCGGGCGAGGACTTGGCCGTGTCAAGCAGCAAATTCTCCACTACATTTGCACGTGCGTAGGTAAGAATGACATCACCAGCACTGATCTTTGACTGCGCGTTTTTCGAGACAGCACGCGAGGCGAGCAAAATGCGGGTCTGGACGTAGTCGTCCATTTCGTCACAAATCCGACGCTTGGCCTCCTCTTCACTCCACTCGGGCAGACTCGAGCCAATGACACGTCGCAGTCGACGAATAGCATTGCCCATACCAATGCCATGCGGTCGGCAGTCAATGAGGTACTGGATGAGCGGACGAAGGCGCTTGTCCAAGTCTCGACCCAGTTGTTTGTCTGGTGGTGTCACGTAGTCCTGGATCACCTGCTGGAACGCCGTGATCATCGCAATGCACCGCGCATTGCTCCCCGAGATCTTCTTCTCCGCGTACTTGAGTCCAAGCGCCAGCACGGCCGGATGCACTTCTTCCTTGTTCGAAAAGCCCACGTTCAGCGACAAGGAGCTCTCGCGCTCGTACTGTGGCAAGTGCGAAAACATCTCGACCTGTTTCTGCGCCTGTGTCCGCACGACAAGCGCCGCTTTGGAGCGACGGGCGATCTTCTTGGCATCGTCGTACTGCAGTCGCACGTGCACGACTGGACTAGGAGGGACGAGCGATCCAGCAGCAGCAGTAGTAGTAGCAGACGTCCCACCAGCAGTAGGACTGGCAGCGACGGTATCCAAAGCCTTCTTGCTTGGCTTGGTCAGACCCTCGTGCTTGCTTCGACTGGCTTCCTGCTGCGCCCGTCGCTCGGCTTTTGTCCGTTTCTCGCGCTTGGACACGCCACCAGTTTTGGCAAAGGCCTCGGCCGCTATTTTCTTCCTCTCGGCCTTGGACAGCTTTTTCGTATCCGGTACTTTTCCGTCTCTCTCTTTTTCCAGCTTTTCCAGAGTTGGGTCTTCCTTTTTGGCTCGATCTTCCGTCTCCTTGACGATTATCGGAACGTTTTCAAAGCTTGTCATCATCCCTGTCTCGTCCCTTGCATGAATTGCTGGTCCTTCCAGACTTAATTGTTCCATAGACGACACGGTTTCGGTCGTCTCAGGCTTGGCAGCTGGCGACCACCCTTTTAGCGTACCTCTGTAAATGGTCCAAAATTGGATTTACAAAAAAGTGGTAGTCAAAAAATAGAAACAGGGGGTAGTCACGTTAGATGAAAGGAAGAGGAGGACTATTTTTGGTGTAAAAATAGAAGAAGGCAAATAAGATTGCGCACTCGTAGGTGGTCTTGCTCTTGGGACGCTTTGCAGTGCGGTTCTTGTCGTCGTCTATCATGGACTCTGTGGGTGGAAGCACCACATAGAAAAAGGTGAGTACACGAGCTGAAGAGCGTACGTGGTATACGGCATACCGAGGTGCTGGAGGTCCATTTGGGGCTCAATTTCGGGCGACCTACTATCCGTCATGTTTTTTTTTGAAATCGAGTGGACATTGAAGGGTTATATATGAGCAAACATTTCGATACAAGCACCTTTTTTCTTGGCTAAGAGAGGAGGAGGTAGATGCTATCGTACAGATTTGTTTTTACAGGAAAATAAAAAAGGTGTACACCAAATAATGCGGAAAAAGGTTATAAGATGGAGGAAAAATAGGATCTGACCAGGTAGACACACCCTACTTGCTACGTTGACACCCCTGAATTATAGATGTCATAAACATCTTACTGAGCCGGTGCCTCCCCCTAGGTAAAATATTAACATGGGACCCAATCACAGTGCAAACGGAATTTTAAAACCCTTTTCAATCCTCTCCTTACCCTACCACACTTCACGTACTTTGTAAAAAGTTATGGTGAGTATCGCCCTAACTTGGCATAGCCTGCTTGTTCTCTTGTATCAATTTTATTCCAGAGGTACTCACGGCTAAAGGCGCGTGACCCTAAAAAACTCAAATGTAAGAGCTAGAGGTGGCTAGTGATGGAGTACCGATAAGGCAACGATTCGCACAACGTATTTTGTGGGAACAGGGAATGTACGTGTTGGAAAGAGAGAAACCATTGTAAAAGACTTCTATATAAAACGCGCGCCAGACGCGTTTCGCCCTCCACCCCCGCCGGGGGCCTCATCAGTAGCTTATCCAATCTAGAAGTGAGACCTTTCTATATCCTGCGCTACCAAAATTAAGAACCTTCTAGAACTTAGTGCAACCACACAAAAAGCCTGCAAAAACTACCAAACCTGGCAGCTGAGGCGTTGACCCGGAAAAGAGCGTCTGCTATGACAACTCCACCTCCAACAGTACGTAATTGTAGTGCACAAATGCTGACAGTTTGATACAGTATCTTGAACGTGCTGTGCTTTCCGCAATTGCTCATGGGCAAGCCTTTTTGCACTCTCTGCAGCCTCAACGGACTCTTAAATCCTGCCTGTAAGAGGTGGCTCGAGCATACACGCAGTGTGAATTGAGATGCTTGAAATGTGGGTTAAACAATTCGAATTTATGGTCAGCATATTTCAGATCGTCGCCAAATTTCTAGAGTGCGTACGGAGATCATTGCTCACAGGACAGCATCGTGGACCATCAATTATCTTCGCTCTGATTCGTGCCAGGAGACGATGAAGCAGCATACCATATAACGATGCCGAAATATCTAGATCAGTATTATTGAAAGAGGAATATGTTGTGCTAGATGTATGCATCCGTATAAAGTTTCATTTCAAATTGACGTACCGAGATCAGCCGTTTGTAACGCCGCCGGTTCAGCAGTCATTTCTGCGACGACATGAACGACAACAATACCTCGTACACCTGAATTTACAACAATACCTCGCACACCTGGATTTAATTATAAACATTGCCACTTAAAATGTGTGGAATGGACGACCACAATCACGTACATTGTACGCAGCAGCTCTGGATCTGCGGCTTACACACGATACCGCAATGTTCATGAGGAGTGAAAAGTCACGTTTTATATCTCGGGATGGCACCGGCTGAGTAAGATCAATATTATATCTATTATTTAAAGGGCGCCCACGTATTAAGTAGAGGACGTCTACCTAGTCATTTCCTGGAATCAAATCAAATAACAATACTGAAAAGAAAATCTTTAAGATTGGGGCCAAAAAGATCAAATTATCAGTGTTGTGTGAAAACGATTAGTCGCAATATGGTTGATCTTTGTGAGGCTCGAAGCGCCAAGGTAAATAGTGACTAAAAAGAAGATGATCGTCAAGATTTCTCTCGAAACGGTGGCAATGAAAGAGTTTGCTGTAATTCAATTGCTTCTGTCACGGGCAGCCGATCTGCGAAAAATCTGCCTGGGATTCGCATGTCCTACATCCTAAATGACAAGAACACAGGCAAACACGTCAGCGCGAAGATCAATTAGACGAGTGCCAACCGCTTGGTGATAGTCGATGGCGCGACTCAAGGGGGCAGTGCACCCAAAAGTGTAAGCCAGACGTGTAGCACGGGTGTCATTAATCCTCTATCCCAAGACCAGACGTAAAAACCGGTACAAATGGCGTCATAGCCATGCTTCTTCCAGTCTGAACGTTTTACCGGGAATTAAAAAGCACGTCGCCTGGTGTAATGATTATCCCACCAGTTACGATCTTGCTGCACAGATGACTGGTCGCCAGTAAAAGAGTGAACGAGTTCCGTGAGCAGCGAAACAATGACGAGGGAGGTTTACGATGTATGGGCACGAACAGCGCCCAGCAAAATATTATCAGAAGTGTTAAACAATCAAAGTACTGATAGCATAACAAATTCACTTCAGCTCCATAGCGACCCATGATGACGTACGCTTGCCACTTCAAATTCCCGGCGACCCATCATGACGTACTCTTTCCCTCCGATCGACTTCGCGGACCAAGTACGTATTCGTTAGGATAGCAGCGGTCGGCATAAAATATGCATACCAAGTCAGCCTATTGCTATACTCTAAAATAAGCTACCCATCCGAGATCATAACGCGAATCAACCACGTTGTCGAGTGAGTTCATTTGTGTTTATCGGGATCACATGCAGCAAGCGGCTCGGCGAGGGCGCATGCCGTGCACGTGGCCGCCAATTTATAAGCAAACTCACTGCTGGTCAAAATGAAATTTGCGCAATGGAGTGTACGCAATTATCTCAGTCTGATATGTGTTTTATTGTAAATAGTTAAGACTCGTTAACACTCACGCAGTTTCATTTCCATTTCGAAGTTGTAAAATGTGTCTAATACTATTTACTTTTTAGGTGATACTGTTTTGGATGTGGTACTAGTTTTAATTTTTTTTACATGGATTAAGTACTGGCATTGAGATTCGCTCTTCTCAGGATCGAATTGATATCCAAACATTAGATTTACTTGACCCATCACATATCTTACAGCGGAACGAGGCATCATCGACTTTCAATGATTGCACAAAATTAATGTAGAGGAGCAATCTCTGTAGCTCATCCTTAAGTAAGGAATTCAGTAGATGGAACTGAATCAAGTTCGGTATGTTCACGTTCCATTCAAAGTACTATGAAGCTATGTGTCAGTTCGTTTGTCGTGTGTTAGATGAAAGTAACAATAAATTGTTGTGTGATAGTGTGACTCGTTGATAGTCGAAATGAAAATGAGAGATAAGGGATATGAAGGATGATCTTGCTCGGTAACGATGTCAGCAAAAAATGTGCAGCTGACGGCCCACAACTGTCAATGAATGATAATCATTGAATCGAGGAAGGATCCTCTGTTACCGAGAGATATAGGTGATCACAAACCTCTTACTATCTAGGTGTATTAAATGTATTGAATAAACACTGTTCCACATATACTGTTTACCGGAGGCGCGAGACCTTCGCTTCCATAAAGTTTCTCACACTTGCTTGAGATCCCCCCGTGCGTCCTTTGCCACTTTTGATCTAAACATGTGCAATAATGAGTGCGTGAGTGACTTTCACTCTTTACATGGCCGACACAGCCTACATGGCCGATTCTGACCTAATGAAATATCTGCAAGCTATAGTGCACATCAACCTTTGAAAAGGAGGTAGACTACTCACACTTTGTAAAAGTCGTGAAGGGTACACCTGGTGTTATTAACATAACTAGGAGAAGCTGGATTCATCACACTTCGTGCGACGTGTTAGGTACACCTGGAGTAAATTACACGATTTCATAAAGAGGAGGAGACTGATGCAAAGGTGTGCGCAGTAGAAGAACTTTTGGAAGAAGATCCAAGCTATTCGTTGACATTTCCTATTAGATTGCAAAATTTTATGTCCCTACTTCTATCTAGGCTAGAAATGTACGTCCTCTGATCTGGCTTGCCAAATGGAACCTCTGATCCTACAAAGGCTAAACCTCTTTCAAAATGTCAAAAACGACTTTGTGACTTCAATAATTGATTGCACCCGATGACGTCGTACAGTGACGTCATCAACCACCATAAGTACATATGATACATCATTAAAGCAGTAGTAGGTGGTATTATGCTAACACTCCCACACATCGCTGATGCATTACGGGCTCGGGTCCTATACCACATGCATGAAGCAAGTACTGATGCCTCTTGGCCCTTAGATACTTCGTGAGCATATCTTTCACTTGTCCCACAGTCAACGTGCACTTCACCACTATGATATCTTGAGCCACATACTCCCGGATGAAGCGGTGACAGACGTCGACGTGCTTGGTCTGAGCATTATAGCCGGCATTTTTGGCCAGTCCAATTGCTACTTGAATATCTACCCGGAACCAGGTATATCCCACTTGCTCATGACCAAGGTCCTTGAGCATTGCGCAGATCCAGAGTGCTTCCTGAGTATACAGACTTAATGTCATGTATTTCGCCTCCGCTGAGCTTAATGCCACTGTACGCTAAGACTTTTATTTAAAAATAGCTAGTGCGTCACCAATCATCACCATCGTCCCTGACACTGATCGCCGATCATTGATATTACTGCCATAATCTGCTTCCATGTAGGATGTCAGCTTTTACTTCGCCAGTGCTACTGGAGTAAGTAATCTTGTAGTTACTTGTCGTCTTTAGGTAACGGAGCCTATAATGGCAGCCTTACAATGTTGCTGACCCGAAGTCTTTAGGAAATGTTACAGACGACACCATACTTATAATTATGTTAGAGTTGCACCTAGCGTCATTTGCATAGAAACAAATTATAATGATGTCATCGATTGGAGTGATTATCCTATTTCGTTCTACACTGGCTTGAAACGGTCGAATAGTGGGAAGTCCATAGTATTTCGATAGTAAACAGGTTGGTGTCGTTAATCTGGATCAAATCTATAGTAAAAATGGGTGAAGGCAAGAATATCATGGCAACGGGCACGAGACACCGAGACAAAAATAGACCGACCCCGGAAACCATCAAGCTAAAGTAGGCCGACTGTAGTATGGTAAACAAACCAAAAGTGTTTTGGACGGTTTAGAAACTCGGAACCATTACTCGCACTTTGGGTTAC